GTGATTCTCGGGGTCCACGCTCCCCGCCCACACGGCGCGCATCGAGCGGGGGTGCGGAGTGAGCCGAGGGCACGGGGCTTGGTGTTGCGCACACGCAAGCTCACAGCGGGCGAGCGGCGGCGGCGTGGGAGCGGGCGAGCGGCGCGCTTTGGGCCTGAGAGAAGCATGGCCAAGGCCAAGGGAGTGGGCCGGCGGGGCAAGGAGAGGGGGGTTCGGTTGGGCTCCTGCAGCTTGCTGGGCCGGTGCAGGAAAAGAGAAAGAAGGGGAAGAGAGGGAGTGCTGGGCCGGGCCAAGGCGTGAGGGGAGAGAAGAGAGAAGGGAATAGATTTTCCAATTTATGTTTAATTGGTTCTGAATTTGGATTTGAGAAGAATTCATCACATCTTGAGAAGGATTTCCAAGATGAAATATAAGGCGGTGTTCGAGGAATCTTTCGGAGAGATTCATATGAACTCAAGACGAAATTTCCACGAGTGTTCGGATGGGAATTTTTCAGGGGATATTCGGAAAGACTCGAAGGGGGAATTTTGGGGGGAAATTCGGGGGGATCTGCATGGAGTTAGAATAGGAATTTCAAGAGAGAGGTATTGATGGCACTTGAGATGTGAGCTCCAAGAGGGGACTCGAGATGATTTCCACTGGCGACTAGAGAAGAGGGTCTTTTCCTTTGTTCTCCTACTCCTAGGTCTTATATGTGTGTACCCGCATGTATTAACATCATGCTTACTCATCGTGGTGGTCTACTAGGGGTCTTAGGGTTTAGGGACTCCGGTCCAATGGTCGGCACAAATATAAATGGCAAGTCCGGGTTCTAGTGGAGTTCGGGATTATAGAGAGAGATTCACGGAAGACTCGAAATAATCCCGCGAGGATCACAAGGAGGTTGCTATGGGTTGTGCTCTCCAACAAAAACGAGACTCAAACACAGGACAACTCGAAAACTCCGGCAATCACCTACAAACCATCTACATGTATGCAACGTCTTGTTAGCGAGTTGGACTCGTGTTTGACCTAGCAATTACATGTTTCACTCAATTGCAAGAAAATTTTTGAAAGCTCGTATTTTTGGTTTCCAGAAAAATCCGGGTTGTTACATTAAGGTTCCGTAATGCTGGATATTGTGCGGATGCTGCAAAGGTTTGTGATGCACTGCATAAGGGCAGAAGATGGGAAAACTGAACTTCCTGATCAAACAGATACAATTTCCAGTTTTGTGATAAAGGGTAGCACCACCACCAGTAGAGTATCATTGTTCTAATAATCCAGATAATAGAGATGAGTTTTTCTTATGTCATCTCCTTTCTAAAACCTTCAAGCATTGGTTGAACTCGGACCATTCTGAAAGAATAGCCAAGGAATGATGTTCTGTAAGCTGCTTATAAGTTGTTGATAGTTAACCTTTTATGTTCTATCTTAAATAATTTTCCTGGACAATTTTTTTTCCAATAAAACTACACAGGAAGGATTTTGACATTTTGGTAATTCAAGTTGTTGACAAGTTTGCTTTCTTTTGTAGGTTTTCTAGTTCCAATATATTGGATAGATTGGTGTGATACCTGCTTCACTCTTTCTCCTTGTGACTTTATATTTTGGATCTTGGTATGCCCAATGAGGAAACCTCACGTATTGCAAATGCCGTATGACATGCCAAGTTAAGACTTGGTTTATGATTTGCCTTGGTTTCTGAGGGTTTTTTTTTCATCCAATTATGAAAGCCAACATCTAACTTCTTTACATGCTAAATAATTTTCAGACACCTCTCATGTATTTATTTTCAGTTTGAACTGCTGTTGGTTGCATTTTTAACTCGAAAGAAAATCTGTTGGTGTCTCCTAATATTTGCTGCCTTGTCCTGTGATGAAATTGTGAGAACTGCAAGTGCCGGATGATTAAACTGCCATCAAGATGGCTGTTTGTTCATGATATCAACTCAGTTTCTGAGGACTTCTTTATTTATTTATATTTTTGGGGCTAGTCATTGAGATTTTTTTTAATCAGATATAGTACCAGACATGCTACACTCACTCACATTTTTCAACACATTGGAAGAAATATAAAACCACATGTGATTTGTAGTTATATGTTGCCCTTGCACGAGATTTGTGTGCGTTAATCGCCTTCTTTGTCGAAGACTGAAATTTCACCCTCAGTATCGCACCATCTCACCCAGTTGCTGTCTAAGCATGGGACAATCAAGGACAGACTGAGTCAGAGCATAACAGGGGAGGCGCAGTGCAATCTCAAGAGTACTCTTGGCTTATCAATGGTCCGATTAATTTTTGACTTTTTGTCATCGTTACGAATGTGACTCCTTCATTTACCAGCTTTATGCGTGTTTCTACACAATTACCATCATAAACAGTAAACGGCATATATTTTTGCTATTTTCGCTATCGTGACACGACATCTCAACGCGCCAGCATGGAAGTTGACGTCTCCGTTTGTCTAGCTCCAACAGCGTCAACAGCCGGCCGTCATCACTCTCTCTGTTGAATGGGGCTCCAACAGCGTCAACAGCCGGCCATCATCACTCTCTCCGTTGAATGGAGCCCAGCTGTCAGCATCGTGTCATGTGTACTGTTCATCTTCTTCCTTGAGACACGGCGGTGGCTCGCTGATTCCGGCAGGTGAGGTCTCCTTCGGTAGCGGGTAAGGGACGAGGGAGCATACTAGTGGGCGGGCGCGTACCTGGGCGCTCGCAGCATGACCTGAGGTGGCTCGTGGCGCCTTGGCCACGTGCACGGCGGCCACCATGGCCACGGCACCGGCGGCGACGGCATCCTACAGTGGCAGGCGAGGGCGGAGAGGGGCTGCGTGTCCAACCCGGGGCCTACGAGCACCGGCTGGTGGTCGCAGTTGGCCCTGCGGTGTCCGGAGGCCCGCTAGCCTCGTGCGCCGGCGGCTCGAGCTGAGTGGCCCGGCGGCGGCCCCTAGCAGCGGGATGCCGCAGCAGGCGAGCGAGGAGGAGGGAGGGTCAGCCCGTGATGCCGCAGCGGCAGCGGAGGAGCCCGACGGGGAGCTGCTCCATCTCCGACCGCAAGCGACGGTGGCGGGGCTCCGCGGCGTCTGAGGCGGCGGTAGGTCGCGGAGAAGGAAGAGGCGGGGTCGTCGGACCTCAGCGCGTGCACGGGCTCCATGAGCACGCCCCGGAGCGCGCCGACGCCGGACCTCAGCGCGTGCACGGGCACGCCGCCGGCGCCGGTAAGGAAGGCGAGGAGGAGGCAGGTGAGCGCGGAACCGAGGAGTTGGGCGGCCACGTAGAGCGCGGACCGGAACAGCTCCCGCGGCCATGGCAAGGCAGCTCGTGTTCCCAAGGGGCTCGAGCGCGTGGCCGCTACGCTTGCTGCCGACACATCATCCATGGTCGCATCCTGTGCAGACCGTTGGTCTGGCAAACGGAGGCAGCTGGGGACGTCAAGTTCCACGCTGGCACGCTGAGATGTCGTACCACGTCAGCGAAAATAATAAAAACATAGATGATTTACTGTTTACGATGGCAATGGTAGGAGCACGTGCAAAGCTAGCAAATGAAGGAGTGACATTCGTGAAGATGACAAAAGGTTAAAAATTCCTCCATAATCACCCCCATCAAGTTATTCCATAGCATGTCAGTGCGGCAGCTCCTCCAATGTTCCATAGCAATAACGGTGCAGCAGCTCCTCCGCGTCCATAGCAGTGGCGGGCGCCGGGGCTTGACCGCTTGAACAGCGGACTGTAGGACTTTTCGATCGCAGCCGTTAGTTTAGCAAGCCGTTGACACTGCAGGGCAGATTGGGACGGGGGGCTTCGTTTTCGTTTAACCGAGCTGTCAGGCATCCAGGTCAACGTGTGCTGCACCTGCACTACTGTTCCATCAGGGACAGGGACAGGGACAGGGACAGGGACCAGGGGGTGCAGGTGAAGCTGAACAAGCATCCGGCCGGACTCATTATTACGAGAATTGTACTAGTCTACACATTATACAAGATGTATGCAAATCTCATTACAAATATTTCGCGGATACGATGGCTAGCGGACAATTAGCTTGTCGCTGTATAGTTTTACCATCTTTTTCATGCTCAATGTGGTTATTAATTTCGTTTGTAACAAAAAGGGTACATCAAGGAACCATGAACCATGGAGGGAAGTGGAAATGATCAGGCTGAAACTTGCTCAAGAGATCAGTAAGTTGTCTCCACAGACGACATTTCTGAAGGCAAGCACTCTGCAAACCTTGGATGCAGAACAAATTACTCAAAAAACAGCGCTCTATAAAATAAATCCAGGGAAGAACCCAAAAACCTATCTTGCGGCTGATTGGCTGAAACAAGGCAGAAGAAATGGCAGCCATACAATGAGAATGGCGACAGCTTGGTGCCCATAAAGCAAGAGGAATGTTCGGAAAAAATGGTAACCAAATTCAAATGACAGTTATGCAGAAGTGGTTAGGCTTCCTTAGCTTTACCACAGCCAAAAGTTGACCAGAAATTGAAGCAAACATACAGGAGAGAACATGAATAGCACGTGCAAAGTACAATGAACAATAAGCACAAAACCGACCGCAGGACCACCATCTGAAAAATCAAGGGGGTAGAATAGCTTTTTCTTGTGACAGCGTCACCTCCTATGTAGAATGAACTTTGTCATATGTAGAACGAACTTAGAGCATCTCCTACAGGTCGGCTAAATGCATCTGTGAATGCTATTATAGTTATTTTGGTCCAAAAAAGCTGTCCAACAGCCTTTCTATCCCATCTTCTATTTTCCACCGCTGGCCATCCCGCAATCGTCGCTGGCCAATTTTCCCGAGCCAGAATCGCTTGCTATCCGCGGCGCCAATGGACTCCCGTGCTCGATTTTCTTCTCCGCGCGCCATCCTCTCCTGCTCCCGCGTGCGCCAGCCCCCGTCGTGCTCCTCTTTTTCTTCCCATCCCGTGCAGCTTCATCTCGGCACCTGCGTCTTCCTCTCGATCTCGACGAGGCGGATCCCTTCGAGGTCCTCGGAATCGTGCCGAGGCACCATGTCGCAGGCGTCCGCGAGCCACGACAACGGGGACCCCAATTCTTCTGAGCTCCACTCGTTCCCCATCTTCTCGGCGGCCAGCGGTTGGGAGCAACAGCAGTTGTCGTCGCTGCCTTGGTTGCAAAGTGCAGGGGTACCTGGGATGCAGCGTGGAGTTCTTCCTCCCAATGCTGCCCCTTGCATCAGCCCCCGTGTCTAGCATGTATTTCGGTAAGATCCAAATAGTTACATCCAAATTTTTTGGTTTTTTAATAATCAAGCCAACTCGAAATGTACATGTGAGGTCAGATGCAATTTGTGAATAGCTATCTATTGCGAGTATTTGTGAATGAAAGCATTCTTGGCAATTATGTTCTGTGAATAATTCAGATTTGGTGAGCTCTGAATCATGAAAGCATTCTTGCTACTTTCAGATAGTACAGTTTGACTAGTTGCAGTAAAGTGAATGTAGTGATTGTGCATATTACAAATTTATTTATTGAACTAGAGTTTGTGTATTTCAGTAAGTTTAGTAAATTTTTTCTTTAAATAGTATGTTAGCCTCTTCCCGGTGATCATCCAATTGCAGAACTGTGCATATAATGATTTGAGGTCAGAGTTTTCTGAAACTTGTTCATGTGTCAGTCTAATTTGCTATCAATAGTAGATTTTTATTCTTTAGTTTTTCAGTTGAAACTCTCTAGCTCTGCAGCCCAATTTTATTCTTCAGTTTTTTCAGTTTGTTCAAGTGTCAGTCATCTTCCTATGCAGCAAATAGGGCTTTAATTTTTTCTATACCACATCTAGAATGCTTCAGTTTTACCTGCTTGTTGAAATCATATTACAGTCTATGATCTTGATTATCCCTGTGGTATTTTTTCATATTACAGTCTATGATCTTGATTGTCCCTGTGGTATTTTTTCACAAGCGCCATGGATTCAGAAAGATCTTTTACCGACATAATTACAAGGGGTTGTAATCCTGCCGCTTTGTCTGATAATGTCCCAACTCCTAATGAAACGCCAGCATGTGATGAGGCCCTAGCAAGTGTGAAAGGGATTCAGAAAAGGTCCAAGAATTTCAGTAAAGAGGAGGACGAATTGTTGGTCTCAGCATTGCTAAATGTGAGTTTGGATCCAGTGCAAGGAGTTGATCAATCACGTTCGACTTATTGGAGAAGAATATATGATTATTTTCATATCAACAAGACATTTGATTCTGATCGAACGCAAAGCTCCCTAATGAGCCGATGGTCTGGTATTCTACATGATGTGAACTTATATGGTGGTTGCGTTTCGAAGATAGAGGCTAGAAATCAAAGTGGTTTTATCTATCTCTGATAAGGTTAGATAACATACCTTGCCCTTTCAATTGTATATGATGTTTCTCTATGTCATGCAGTCTCTATGTATTTCAATTTGCAGGAAAAAAATGCATTAAGAATGTTCAAGTCCGAGGACAAGCAGCACCGGAATTTCCCTTACCTCTATTGCTGGGAAAAATTGAAAGACAAGGCCAAGTGGAAGAATAGGAGCAATCAGAGTGGAACGACTTCAAGGAAAAAGCAAAAGAGCACGGCGAATTGAAGTCCTGCAGCTACTGGACAATTAGTTGTCACTGCTAATGGTGAAGAGAGTCAGGCAACAATGCCTACAGTGGACAGACCTACAGGGAAGAAGAAGGAGAAAGACAAATAACGACAATGTTCTAGCATCGAAGCATTGGATTATTTGTTGGCAAAGAAGAAAGAGGCTGGCATAGAGAAGGATTTGAAGAAAGAGGAGAGGTGCAAAAAAGCCTTTGCATTGCAGGAAGAAAGGATCAGAATCGAGGAAGAACGAAACAGAATCGAGGAAGAAAGGATCAGACTTGAGAAAGACAAATTTGAGTTCGAGAGGACGATGAATCCACCACTTCATTCAGTAGATTGAACTCAGCTTCAAAATCCATCACACACCTACGGCTCTAGGGCAAAGCAGAGGCAAATACATGATGGGTTGACCTGACAATTCCTGAACGCATGAAGTGCTCGCCACCATCGACTACTGCTCGGCACCGCCGTCGCATCGAGCGGCCAGGCAGAGGAGAACCGTAGGTGTGCCGCCAAGGGGAAGCCGTGAGTTGCGACTTTGCGAGCAGACCTGGCGGCGTAGTTGTGCGTTGCGGCTTCGAGCAGACCTGGCGGTGGACGTATGTTGCGAGAGGTCAAGGACCAACCGTCAGGATGATGTGGCCCATTTAAATATAGCAAAGGTCCATGTTTAGCCAGGCTGCTGTAGCACTCATCTTTTTAAGGGACTTTTCTATTATACATGATGGCTCAATTAAGAGATTTAGCATTTATTTTTAGCCCACCTGTAGGAGATGCTCTTACACCTGGACAGAGTCCTGATATCTGGAAACACTACCAAAGGGGTCAATACTCCCCCAAGCTAGTTCTCTAACAAGGGCGTAACCACAATAATGTATTTTTCTGCTCATAAAGAAAGAGAACAAAATCTAAAGACTACCATTACGTCTATATGTGTTTGGCTGTTTGCAAATCCTGTTACACGTCAGTTAGCAGGGCAAAAAATTATTAAGAACCCTTTGTGCAACCAAAAGGAGGTCAGCTCATTCTGGACGGAAAATGTCCTTGCCAAACAGGTATTAGTACAGGGTAATCCTCCGCATACACGCCAATATGCTCCAGGATGAAAAAGTGATCTCGCAAACACGTCTTTCACGAATACCTACAAAATATATGCAGATATCAGAATATATCATGAGAATGGTTAACCATGGAAGCCTGATTGTAGCATTTAATGGGAAGGAAAACAAAAGCCTAGAATAACTTTGAATTATATATAAAATTTATCTAGACATATAGAAAGCGCCATTACTTTCTCTCCTACATCAAACAACCATATTATACATAGGACTATCCTATCCGTTCATTAACTTCATCTAATGGCTCAGATTGATCGTGTCCTGCAATTCCTTCTACAATCAATAGCCATATTACATCTATTATGGCCCACTAATCTCCATAAGATCCAGTTCTCAATGTGCAATGGTTGGCATTCTTTTCTTCTCTGTATCCTAGAGAGTTCAGCTAAAACCATTTGCTATTTGACTTCCTGATAAGTGATGGTAACCAGTTGGATAGAACTGATCAGGGTAAACCACCTAGTATTTAATTAAACTAAAACTGATTGTAGACCATACTGTTGAATCATAGTTGCGCAGAGAATCATTCCGATGGTCAATCTGGTATTCAGTAGTAATCCTAACTGCTACAAACAATGAATTCACCTAAAGGAGTATCAACCTGTTCTTAGCTTGCATTTGGCTAAAACAGAAGTTTTTGTTCAGCTCATTTCTAAGCTATGGCTCCCTGCAACTATACTGCCGGCAAGGCAACCGCCTAGCTGAGGATGACAGACCAGGAGGTGGAAAAAAGTTAGGTTTAGTAAGTTATATCCATCACCATTGGCATAGAACCGGCATAACAGCAAATGCGTTCAACACTTGACCAAGTGTTCTTTGATAAGTTGACATTAATGTAATGCTAGCATACATGACATGTACCATCCAGTACAATAATGTAGGTCAGTGAGAAAGACATCTTGAGAAAAAAAAAACTAAACAGGGAATTATTAGATTTTGATATACTTGTAAGCAATTTTGAGGATTAGCTCATACACTAGCTCTCATTCTGGATCATTGATGCCACTCAAATCATTGTTTCCTTTTTTATTTATTCAGACATTCATTTACTCGTGACCATAACTTGCAGTCAGCTGGAGGTTCTCCTGCTTCACTCAGACTGGGTCGGTGGCTAGACTTTTATAGTGGTCCTGGATCCGTTGGAATAGAAGCTAATACACCTAAATCCTTACCGAGCACTCAATTACGCGATGAATCAAGAACACTACCATACAAGAATCGGACCCTAACTTACCGGTGAGAAGGAGTGGACAGCTTTATCTACAGTAGTTCATAACTGTGGCACAAATCCAGGTTCTGGTATGTTTCCTCCAGCCTGCAGCCAATGCTCTTGAAACTCATGTGGAGTCAGCCCCAATAATGTTCTATGAAATTTTATCTTCAATAATTCTCCCCATATACCAACAAGAGAATTCATGGTAGCCTTCTGATGGTATTCGATACACCACTGCCGCGTCAGATTTGGAAGAGCTAAGGTTCCATTCAGCCGCTCTTCTAGCACAACCATGGAGAAATCAGACCAATCATGAATAAGCTCCCAATACTCAAACTCCATTTTGTATGGTGGTGTGTCATTTCGCAAACGTTGATTGACTTCAACCAGCAGACTCCTCAACCTTCTAGTCTCACAAAATATCACCATAACATTCCATGCTGCCCTTTTGACATCTAGTGTCAGAGGACCTGGTCCACCATCATCCCCCTCCAATTTGGACAAACTATAGAACATGCTCTCCAAGACCAATTCACCCCCGGGTTGCCTGCAAGTTAATTACAATTCAGTTAATGATGCAATTAAGAATTGGGAGTGAGAATGATAGGGACTAACGCATAGTTATTGATGCAATTAAGAAATGAGTGATAATGCTACGGACTTACGCGTCAACGTGAGCCGAAGAGATTCCAATCTCCGTTGCATGTAAGAACGCTGGTACATTCGAGTCCTGAAGAGCGAACCATGTCCCACCCTGTCCTCCGCCACCTCCAGCATGAGCAACTTCAAATTCCTGTATGGTAAACTTGATGCGCCGGAAAGCAGCAAAATAGGTGTTGTCATCACACATCAGTAGATCAAGGATGTATCGATGATCATGATGTGCTGGCGGCTGGGAGTCCCATAGTCTAATGATGTGATGACTAGTCATGTTGGTGATTGGATTCATATATGGTGTCACAGGCAGACCATTGACAATAAAGGGGGAAATCAAGGTGTCGCGATGGTTCAGCGTTCTGAACGTCTGCCGGAGACCATCAACGCCGCTTCGGATGTCATGCCAGACAATTGGTATATCACCCTCGTTGCGCTGCAAAGGGCATGACACGTTCACAAGACCTGGTGCATCTGCCATGCTGCAAAAGAACCATGTTTTAGTGAATCAAAACAAATCTTTTCTTATCCACCTTAAAAAAAACAAATCTTTTCTTATAGGGGCTCTTGCGTTTGTACCCTTGTTTTGTATTAAAATTGTGATTTTGCCCCTATTTTTTTTACTTTGTGAATTTACCCCTACTGTGCCATTCACGAAGCACCGGTTTGCCCCTGCTCCGTCATCCACCCCTAACGGTGTTAACTTTTGTACTAAAGGACAAATATGCCCTTGTGATTTTATCCTCCCTCTCGCTCTGCGTCTCCCCAGCCCGACACAAGGGGCGGCGGCGGTGGCCGCACTCTCTCCTCACCTCCCAGCGGCGTTCCTCCCCCTCCCTCCCCCTCCCTCTCCTTCTCCGGCTGGTGGCGCCTCACCCTCCCCTCCCAGTGGCGTTCCTCCCCCGCGGCGTGGTGGCTGGGAGCTGGAGTCTTGGTGTGGCTGGAGCTCGTGGTGGTGGTGGTGCAGTGGAGGGCCACAACCGCATCCCTCGCGGCTCGAGGCGGGTGATGCGGCGGGAGGCGAGATCCGGCGACGCTCCTCCGCTCCCCCGGCCAGATCTAGTGGCGGTGCGGGGGATCGAGCCCCCTCTCTCCTCCCTCCGGCGATTGTGTGGCGCGTGGACGACGAATCCGGTGGCAGCTCGGCGCGGGGACGTCGGATCCGGTGGCGGCGCGGGGGAGCCCCCTATCTCCTCCCTCCAGCGACGGCGCGGCACGGGGACCGAGGAGCTCCTCTGTCTCCTTCTCCGGCGGCGTGGATCTGGGCGAGGAGGTCCTCCTCTCCCTCAAGCCCGCCGGCCATGCCGCGATGCCCACGTGCCTTGACCTGAGCGTCGCGGCCGGGCACCGTTGCGCCTCGCGCGCTGTGGTGGTCGGGGAAGCGCCGCGCGCCCGCATGACCAGCGCCACCGCCCCCCCACAACGCTACCAAGGGTTGGGACCGCCGGACGCCCGCCATGCTTGCTAAGCTGACACCGTGTGGTTTGCCTGTGGCTAGACGAGCAGGAGGTTGAAGATAAGATGAGGGGCAACATGGTCTTTTTGCCTCTGTTTGCAGGGATTTTGATTTTTTTTAATTCATTTATTCCATGTCCATCTAACATACATCCAAACCAGGGGCAAACGGATGGTTCGTTTTAAAATAATAGGGGCAAAATCACAAAGTTGAAAAAACAAGGACAAAATCACAATTGGACTGCTGGACAGGGGCAAGAACATCATTTTCCCTCTCTTATATTGGTTAGTCACATATACTGGTGTCAAATGATGTCGAAGCAAAATAAAATAAATGAAATGGGCCGAGGGGCAATCATATCTGAGAATTGTGCCGATATTGCAGACAAAAGTTGTGCACTTGCAGTGAAAAAGAGGACAACGGGGATGCGGTGCGGGCCGGGTTCTCTAATTCTCCGCTGGCTTATTGGGGCTGAACCGTACTGCAGCGTCGCCCTGAAGCTAAAGTGGCTACGGCGATGGCTACGAACAGAGGCATGCGCTCACAGACCAGAG